CAGGGTCTTGTGACTTGTTACCATGTGATTCCTGAAGTGGTTATAAAGGAAATGTTCTAATTCCAGTTGGGTACCTTATATTCATGCAAATACCCTCGAGAAAGATATGACTCCACCTCTTTTCTCCTCTAGCTATGGATTAATTAGTAAGATTTATATCACTAAATAATTGTTTATCTAAAACAAAAAATTCTTACAATCTAAAAAAAATATTTTCTGATTTTAAATAACCTGCAAAGGGTTGATAGATCATAAAAAACAAATCAATCAATCATTTTCCTATTGCTTATTAAAAGTTGGTGGATGTATGATGTTTTTTTCTTGGTTGTCCCAATTCAGGCATATCCAAATAGTTAACTGTTGTATTAATGATTATTATGGCATTGTAAGCATCACTTTTTTAAACATCCAATTGACTGTATTGTCATTTAGGTTTATGTAGTTGTATGAACTTCAACACAGTTTCTAGTGACTAAATCTTTTGGCTCATTATAGTTGCCTCCACTGTAACAGAAAATATGAAAATACATTATCCTATTATAATTTTGCTTGTCCCCTTTATTAGTTAGCCCAACCATAAATAATGGACTATTCTGTTTTGATTGTGTGGAAGGAGGAGCAAAGACACTACTTGGTTTCAGTAAGAAAATGAAAGATAGAAGTTATAGACATTATTATACCCATGATATGATAACACTGATATTTCACAGACAGAATGGAGTGACTGAAAGGGAAAAGAATGACAAACATGCTTTGTTCTCAGAGAGACTTTTATAATACTAATACATACACAAAACTATATACAGTAGCGTCCAAAACTAAGGGACAAAATTTTAAAACCTAATATTTGGTTCATATATTCCCTTACTTTTGGACGTTCCAAATTTGAAAATAAATAAATAATTGTTATAATTCTTTTTCTATCCTTTGCAAATGATTCAAATTTTAGTATGTTATTATGAATGATAATGACTACCAGTTGTCAAAATTTCAGCTTTTCAGTTATTATTTCTAACAAATATTAGGTTTTAAAATTTTGTCCCTTAGTTTTGGACGCTACTGTACATATATATACACATCTCTGACACAGAGAACAATATATCACATATATTTACACAGCAAAGCAGAGTGTAAGGAGAAACAAAAAGGGTCTCACATATAATATGGAGATACTCCTGACATTGGAGAAGTCATTTTTGGGATTCCAGATTCAAATGAGTTGGATTCATCTATGTTCCAGGCAAGGACATATTCCATTGAATGGCAAACAGCAAGTCTTGGGTTTTCTTCCCAAATTGGGGACTGTGAGCTGGATTCTCATTCTACATCTGGAAAAGATATATTTCCAAAGGGAACTTGCACCATGTGCCTGTAAGCTGTTAGGGAGGCAAATTTAGCCTCTGCCCAGGCAATGGGCTGGGGCTGAGCTAAAAGAAAGTAACCTTACCATTTGGTTGCTGCACAAACTGATAAATGACCAACAATTTTGTTGCTGTATGACCCATGTGACTCACATGACTTATCTCCACCAGAGGGAGAGAAGTGCCTTTTGTATCCTTACAAAGTTGAGAGAGAGAATCAAATTAAGCTGATAAGAACGGATATTACATTTTGATCTCAGCCAAAAGACTGAGAAGTTATGGCGACTCCTATTTTTTCAGATGCACACTATCAAATGAAGAAAAAGCAAGATGAGAAGACAGTGTTTAACATCTGCCATAGCTCATAAATAATTGGCTATTCCATTTTGATTGTGTAGAAAAACAAAAAAACATCTACTTGGTTTCAGTGTGTTATATAGGAATAAATTGTCACTGCCAACACTTAAGCTTGAACACAGATCACCAGTGAGAAAACACCGGTGATTCCATTTCTAATAAAGTAGACCATGTGGTCGCAAAGGAAACATATATATGGGAATTATCATAGCATCTAATTGATCACCATTTCTACTCTATTACTATATGGACTGCTATTCTCTACTCTATTCACTATATTATTTCATTATACTGATCACTATTCAGATCACTATATGGTGGTTACTTTTCGAGCGAGTATTATCAAGCAAGTACTATTAGTACGAGTGATATTCAAAGGCATCTGACACCAGTATTGTTCAACAGCGTTACTATAGTTTTATCTGCAATTACAAAGTCTCCAAACGAGTATTACAAAAGTGACAACAAGTATTTGTTAACATCACAAAAGTGGCAACGAGTGTTCATTCACATCACAAAACAGTGAAAAAATGGATAAAAGAAATAAGAAGAGACAGTGTTTAATGTCTGTTTCAGTGAAATGGAAAAAGTTATCATTTACAAATTTTTTATTTGTACCCAATTCTTAAAATAACAATTGGCATTCATATTTATGATTATTATTGCAATATTTTGTTAAAGTTGTTAAGCTCAAATGTTCAACAATGTGATAGGGGAATTTCTATGGCTATTTCATTGTCATAGAGTTTGCTATGAGCTTATTCAATCATTAACTGAAGAATTAATATTCATCAAAAAATTAAAATAAAATAGGAAAACTGTGAAATTTTCACCGATCTTTCTAATATATTGTAAATAACTTATTTCACTTTATTATCATCAACATCATCATCAGTCCTTTGACTACTTTAACTGTTGGGGGAACCTAAGGGCAGAAAAAACAGACAACCTACTCTAAGCTGATCTGTTGGTAGTAGCTCTCAGGAGTTCCAGCTTTATCATATGATGACATTTTTGTTAATTTTGGGTAATGTTTTTAAACTAAGTGATGAAGTATTATTTCAATGGAAATTATTTACTATATTTATTATCATTGTCATTATTCTCTTCAGGGTATAAATTGCTTCAAAAGTATAATGTGTGCTTTAGTTTTACATATAATAAAAATTACACTCTTTAATGTAATTTTGATGACATGAATACTGTAATCTTAAAATTAGAATTTTCTTTAAAATTAGAATTTTAAGATTACTGTATTCATGTCCCTAAATTAAGTGACACCACTGTGTTGTGTGTGTGTGTGTGTGTGTGTATTTGTTGCCAAAGGACTAATGACTGTTGTGCAAATAATTGGAAAGTTTCATATGATAGAAACAACTGATTTGTTTTTTTTTTTATGGCTTATCAACACCTTGTGGATTATTTGAGGATGAAACACATTTTGGAGTGTTAGAATGTGTTTTTTTTTTTTTTTTTGGTGAGGGAACTTTCTTCTTGTGAATATTGCATTAACAATTTTTTGAGAATAACAATTAATTTTTTTCAGTCTCACTATTTAACCCATAGATGTGGGGAGAAGATGGCTTGGTACCATTCTCAAAGACATTTGCACATAAGTGAATGTAACAAACCTGACTGGAATTTGAACTCTGTCTCACACATTCTCATAGGAACAAGATAAGAATACTTTGAAAATTCTTGGATATATTAAAAAAATAAGATAAATAACAGGACTATTACCAATTGCAAAAGGACAAGATTTTAGCATTTAAATAACCATAATTTATTAAATTATTTTATTGAGTTTATCATTTTGAGTACATTTGAATTTATGGAGATAAAATGTTTTATCTTTGTTACATTGTTGCAGCGGGCCGAGAGGTGTGAGTGCCAATCGACCGCATAAAAAAAAGGGGGGACACAAAGGCAAGGAGATGGCAATAGCAAAGAAGGATGACAAACGCGGATGGTCCGTTGTAGACGATGGAAATTGTGTCTTTATTTGCGAACGGATGATGGTAAGAAGACAGAGGTCGTTTGTTCGGGAACGGTGTCCGGACGATAACGGGCGCTGGACGTCAGTGGGCACTGGATAAGGTCGTCAGCGGGTGCTGGAATAGGTCGCGGGACGTCAGTAGAGCGCCGCAGGGGTGAGCTGTAAACTGCAGGAGTGAGCTGGAAGCGGTAGGAGTGCTGGAAGCTGCAAGAGTGAGCTGAAGGCTGCAGGAGTGAGCTGAAGCTGCAGGAGAGAGCTGGAGTGCTGGATGGTGCTGCAGGAGTGCAGGATGGTGCAGAGAGCTGAAGCTGCAGGAAGCTGGATGCTGCAGGAGAGAGCTGCAGGGGAAGCTGCAGGAGTGAGCTGGCGTGAGTTGAAGGCTGCAGGAGGGAAGGTGAGTAGCAAAGAGTGAAGTGAGTGGAGCCTCGAAGAGTGGTGATCGAATGACTTTGGGAAGTTAGCCCTGAAAAAGACTGTTTGAACAACTGCTGGGTCCTGCCAGCTGCTGGGCTTGATCGACTTGACTGGGTGCGTCAAAGTCGCGAATCAGGGAGGCTTCCTGCTCCCCCGGGCCGGCGGTATTTACTTGACTCCCACGAGGTCAAGATGTGACACAAGGTCGTTTTTCATGGGATTACTTGACTCCCACGCGGTCAAGTCGTGACACAAGGTCGTTTTTTCGTGGGAAAAACCCAAGTGTTTCCATAGGGTCACTGGTCAAAGATTGGTTATCAACATGTCCAACTGGTCAAAGCTTAGTCAAGTTCTGGTCCAAGTTGGTCTTGGCTTGTCTTAGCATGTCCTGATATGGTCCAAACTAGACTTTGCCATGGGTCACAACCCAGCCTGAAGGCCGGGCTGCTCCCCTGGGCCGGCAAAAAAACTGCTGTGAAGTCTCGGGGATATAGATATGATGTTTCATACAAGAGAAAGCGATGACGCTAAACAAGTAAATGAATATAATTAATTCCGGGCCGTATTAATTACAGTCAAAAGTGTGTTCGGTCTTTGTTGACTGTATTTAAATTAATTTAGGTTCGAAATTAAAGGTCTTTTATTTTTGTTTAGTGGCGAAAATTGAGTTTTGTGTGTTTCTGACAGTTTGAAAGGATGTCGTTGCTATTTTTAGCACACAAGGGCCGTGACCTTTCTCTTCTGGCAGGCATAGCCGGGGTTGTTTAAGAAACGGTGGGAGTAGTGTTTGGGCACACTGCGACAACATTTTTTCTACTTTGAACTTTTATTCTTCATTTTTATTTAATTCTCCATTTTCTCTTTCTTTTCAGAATTCCTGAGTTTATACAAAGTATGTCATTTTTGTGAAAATGATGATTTTGACTTTTACATGGAAATTTTTGATTTGCTAAGTGTGGATTTTGCTGAAAATGGTGTTGACATCAAGAAACTGAGTGAGGCAATGTTGAATCTTGAGAGCCTTACTGAAAAACAATTTCAACAAATTAAGTGGATTTTAGTTGAAGAAGGAGAAACTGCTGCTATCCTAGAATTTATTTCTTGTCAGCCATCGTCTCTGGAAAAATGGGTCAAGGCTCTTGTATCTTCCTTGTATAGTATCAACAAAATTAATCTTTGCAAGTTGATCCAGAAAAAAGGTATACAATTACAAATTCAGATTAAATCTATCTAAAAATCCCCCAAAAATTCTTAGTATTATAAAGTAATTTTGATCAGTTTCCTGGATTGTTTTTTATGTTTTAGCCAAATAGGGATAAATATTTACATCCTAGTAAATATAATATGAGTTACATAATAATAACAATACGATTTTCAGTAGCCAATTCTGACCAGGCTGTTATGAATATATTTCAGTTTGCTAGAATTTTATATTCTTTAAGTAGAAAATTCAGCATGACTATTGTTTACCAGATTAATAGTATTTGTGAAAGATAACTTTAACAAAACAGTTGACTAAATGGAATAAACCTAATTGACTAAAATAGTGATGCAATATCATCACATTATTTTGACAAGTACACATCATGCCACAATTGAACAACCAGATCACCATAATTGAACTAGTGTCGCTACTTTATATACCATTAATTGTAATTTGGTTGAATATATATTGAAGTTAGATCTACCACAATGTTATCTTATTTAAATTATTAGAACTGTACCAGATAACAGAAACCATATCACTTGAAGACTTTCAACAGTAGCAACAACTAAAATTGATAGAGAAGAAGAGAGAATAATGACATAATCAAGATGTTTACTTTCCACTCTACCCCAAACAAAAAGCAAGGAAGGAAAAAACCCATTAATTCTGGAAAGAGTGATAACAGTGATTGGACTTGAGAAATCTATTTTCCTGAAAAATTGTTTTAAAGGAAAGCTTTTATAAATTTCAACCGACAGTAAGTCTAAATCCTGAGTCAATGAATACCAAATATTTACTCATAAGAAAATGAGTGAGATTACCATTAAGTTTTTTTTTTTAAATTCATTCTCTGTCATTGTAATTATTAGTAACTGTATGTGTGTTTATCAATTCCATTTAATCAACTGTTTTATTCAAGTATTCATTGTCTTCTTTCAGGACTGTGGGCCCAGTTTGTTTTTGTTGTGTTTGAGCAGAGAATTGCAGATGTAAATGTGGTCCATTAAAGTTTTTTCTATGAAATTATAATGTGTCCAAACATCATAACAATTCACATCTCCAAGTATTTTCCTTACAATATTAAATGTGTAGAGTATCTCTGTGATATCCTGTGTCATGTGACTTATGTTATTTTTAATCAGCAATTCAATTTGGCTATCATCAACAGTTGTAGGCCTGCCAGAATATTCTTGGTCTTCTAGATCAATATTTTTACTTCTAAACCTAGTGAACAACTTATGGTACAGTACACTTTTCTATAGTACCATCTCCATAAAAGACACAAGTCTTTTTTGCTACTTATACTGTATTGGTTTTCCATTCCAGAAATAAAAGATCATCAAATCCTGAAAATGCATCTCATGTTTCTCCATCTTTACTGTTAACATAAAATATTTAAAATTTACAATCCACACAAAGATCTTATAGAAAAACACACTGAGATGTCACCTTTCAGAATATATATATATATATATATATATATATATATATATATATATATATATATATATATATTTAACATGTTAAAATGCCATATATTGAAAAAAAACACTATGAACTTTGGTTCCAACCCAATATATATATATATATATATATATATATATAAGTATAAGTCTTAGGTATGCAGAAAATAGAAAAGAACACGTTGGGTGCATAATCCGGAGTTCCTTAGTATTTTTGTTTTTATTTTTAAGAAGACAGTGCTCCATACAGAAGTAGAGCTTTATTATAATAATAATATTTTTTGTTTAAAAATATGATTCCTTCGCTACATAAGAGTTCTCATGTTTCAAAAACGAGAGTCGAAACCATCCAAATAATTATTAAAATTAAGTTGAATTGAGGTGTTTAGTCCCGTTTCATCTTCAAGCGAAATTTTAGGAATAAGCTATCTCTCACTTTACATGTGTTTTTAGGCATGGTCCGTTACAACATTCGTTATTGTGGGTGTGGCTAGACTATTTTTCTTCGTTAAGTGGTCAGAGAGTTAATTCTTATCAATAGATTCATCATCTTTTGAGAGGTTTTGCTAAGGTTGGGTAGGGTATCTATTTCAAGGCTAATGTTTGCGGTCATCCTTTAGTTGGTTCCCAGTGAGGGATATTTTTATGGCGCGCCTACACGTCGTTATGTATCGGGAGGATTGTGTTTTATTATTGTCCATCTGATTATTTATTTATTTATTTGTTTATTCAAGTGGATGTTTTATATACAAACCATATTGCACTGAATTTCAATTTGGTTTTTTTGTTTTTTGACGACTACAGAAAGGGTTTTTCCTATTTAATGATTTGGCTAAGCTTTTAAGACTTTTATTAAGCTATGGGATTTTTTTTTTTATTGTGCTAATTATTTAATGCGAAAGTTTGTTGATGTCGGCAAAAAACCGTTAACTCCTGCCTATGGTTTAATAATTTTTCATTATTTAGAAATTTAATGATGTGTAGTTTTTCGTGTAGGCATAAAGGGCATGGGTCATCCATGGTTTTACAAGTTCTTGTTTTATTTACTATTTTCCATTTTACTTTCGGTGTTTTATGTTTCTTTTAGATGCCAGAAATATTGGGATAGAGATGTCTGATTTCTATTTTGAATATTGTTGAAGGAGCTCTTGTGTTGCCTCCATCTAATTTTAAAATTATTCTTCATTGAGCCTATGTATATCCTATCAGTGTTAGGACTCTCTTGTATTTGTTGAGATAGTGCATCATTAAAATCATTAAATAGGAAAAACCCTTTCTGTAGTCGTCAAAAAACAAAACCTCTCAGAAGATGATGAATCTATTAATAAGAATTAACTCTCTGACCACTTAACGAAGAAAAATAGTCTAGCCACTCCCACAATAACAAATGTAACGGACCATGCCTAAAAACACACATAAACCAAGAGATAGCTTATTCCTAAAATTTCGCTTGAAGATGAAACGGGACTAAACACCTCAATTCAACTTAATTTTAATAATTATTTGGATGGTTTCGACTCTCGTTTTTGAAACATGAGAACACTTATGTAGCGAAGGAATCATATTTTTAAACAAAAAAATATTATATATGAGAATAAAGACAAATTTATCTTAGCCAATGTGTTTCATCCTCTGTGTGACTTTATCAAGGTAAATGTAGGGACAATTATTTTTTCACCTTTGATAACTATTTTTATAGATAAAAATTTGATTCACAGATAGGTTCTCCTGTCAGCAGTGTTTTGGCTTGTCTATTTTGGGAATTTCTGGAAAGTATTTTACCACAAAATTCTGCTTATTTCATATACAGAGATGATTCTCTACTAATATACCCACAAGACAATACTACGCAATCTTGTCAACAAATTAAATGATGTTGAACACACAATAAACTTTATCTTTGAACCTGAGGCCAACAATACCCTTCCCTTCTTAGATATCATGTTATACAGAAACAACAACAAACTTCATTTTGAGGTTTATAAAAAACTAACAAGAATGACCTGGATAATTTTTACTCCCACCACTGTAAAGAAATCAAAACGGGAATAATTATAGGATTTTGTTTAAGAGCTTTAAGAATCTGCAGCCTCCAATATTTACCCAAAGAAGAAATATACATAGAAAACACTTTCAAAAACGTCTAATATCCTTAGATATCATTTTACCCACAATGCTAAAAGAAAGGCATACAAAATATATGACTGCAAAAAAGATAATGTTATTAACAACAATGAACTAGATAAAATGCACGATTCTACCTACTAACTTCATAACACACTATCCAAAACAATCTATCCGATCTAAACAACATGAAATTAATTACAACCACATGCAAAACTATTATGGATTTGATCAGTTCCAAAAATACCCACAGCAATAATAATATACAAAATAAATTGCCAGAACTGTTCCTTACAAAACATTGGGGAAATTTGCAGAAATTCAAAAAACATATCTATGAACATAAAAGAGACCTTATACACAACAATTTATCAAATGCTTTAGTCATACATAGAAATAAAATAGATAAAACATGAATCTAGTGAATGCCAGTTAGTTCAGACATGATACATGCTTAGGCAATCATGTATCTTTCAATACATGACTGACAAGGCAGATTTTTCCTACAGTAGGTTCCCATTTCTTTTTGTGGAAGACCAGTTACCATCCAAGGCTATAGAACCTGGTCTGTCCTGCTATTTACTCATAGCTGGGGGGAGAAGAAGAGCATTCATATCTTTCCCAAGGGTATTAGCACGTAAATGAATGTAATGGATTCAAATGGAATTCAGACTCGCCTCTCTGATTTCTCAATCCGAGCCATTATCTGTTACTCCACTGCTAAAAAAGAAAGAAACCTACTTAGAAGGAAAATTCTCAAAAGTGCCACTATTGAACCATATCAAAATATAAATCTGCACCCTGAATTCTTTCCAATATCTACTTTACTGAAAGAATTACTATTTTTCCAAGCCAAGATACATGACCACAAAAATACTAAAAATTAAAAGAAAACAATTAAATCCATAACCTCATGTTATTCAAAATATATAACACACAAATCAATCCCCATCCAAAATAATTTAAATAATAATTTGCATATACATTTATATAAAATCAAAAAATATCACCTACTCACTTATGTTTATTAGACATTGAACTATATCACCTCATATCCATGAATTTAATTGACTTTCTTGTTAATCTGATGAATATTCATGAGCACTCCATAACTAAAAATTTGGAAAAACCAATAACATCTTTGCTCTTGTATATAAATACATGTCACAAAATAAAAACCTTACATTTACTTTATATGTCTCTCAGAGGACAAAACACATCAGCTAAGTTTTCTTTTTGTCTTTATTTACATTGTCCTTTTACAAATATACTCACACACATATATTGTTTTATACATGTGCACCTACATAGATGAATTTTACATTTTCTTAATATATATATTTACTTTATATATATTTACATTTTCTTGTAATAGGTTCTGAAATTCATATTTACCACGGCGTTGACTTGGAAGTTTTGGTCAGACTGTACAGGAATAACATTGTCGAGCGAGTAAGACCACAAGATATTAAATTATTTTTAGAAACATATGATTTGAGTAAGTAATCATTTTTTATATTTGCAGTATGTATTGGCTTCCATATCCTTAAAGATAATATATATGATAACATTTTCTTTTTTGTTTCTGATATTTTTAATGTGTTAACTCCAATTTTATTTAAACATTTTTCATGTCTTTCCATTTCTGTAACTGCAATGAACCTCCCATCTCTTACAAATTTCAATAAATTCTTGAGTGTGTGCGTGAGAGAGAGAGAGTATTCAGATTGCAGAAACTTAAAAATAAAATGACATACATCTCTCTAAAAGAAGTAGCAGACTGGGTCTAAAAATATTGGTTGCCAAGAGACAAAGAGGCTCACAACTATCATTTAATTTTCATCATGAAAAAATAAAATTTTCAAAAAATATATATGGGAAAAAAGGTACAATTAAAATTTTTGCGAAAAAAATGTGTATTTCTTAGTAATTACAGAGTACATGTAGTGTAGATGTTACTGGCAGTAGATATCAAATGTAATTACAGAACGTTATAATTGAATTTTTGATTTTAAGTAATTGTTTGATATTCTAAATAGTTTACTGCACAATTAACACATTAACAAATAGTTCAAAAACACAATAGAGCATTGCATGCAGTCGACTATATTAAGAATAATCAGTTGTGTTCACTAGATGATTGTTTACATCTGACAATAATTGCTACTGCATCCAATTCATCTAGTAATTACTTTTCAATGGATAACAGAATGTATGATTATAAATTCTCATCAGACAGCAAATTTCTTAACCGTGTCTTTATGATACTTAGCTTTGAAAATGTTGTCTCACATTGGACTTGAGTAACTGCTAGTGTGCAAATGACTTTATAAAGTTCTTATTCTTTTTTATTACTAAAACAGTTGTCTGTTTATTGCATTTTTATTTGATATGGAGGGGGCCCACTTGCCATCAGAAAAGCCACTGCCAGAGAAAGATATGATGACAATCTTTATATAGTGTACTAATAAGAGAGTGTACTTAATTTCATTGATAATGATAAGTAATAAGTCAATATAATAAGTCATTTTTTTCTTTATTTCTACTTTTTCTGTTTTTTTTCCTCATTGGCTTATGGCCAGATCATGTTGAAACACTGATTCTTGTTTGATTAACGAAATTAAGGAAAGTTGAGCCTGGTCAGTACCTAAATGGATGACCACAAGGAAATATCAGGTGTCGGGTGCAGGTGGTGTAATGGATAATGGCATGGAATTGGAAATTGGAGAGCCAATTTCTAATTCCAGCCAGGTTTGTTATATTCACTTGTGCACAGATGCCCTGGAAAAAAGTATGAATCCACTAGTTATGGATTGAATAGTTGAACCTGTTTCAGTAAAATCATTACTATCCAAAAAATTCTTAGAATCTAAAAAGATTTTCTGGATTTATATGACCTTCAAAAAGTTGGTAAGCTGTAAAAATCAAATCAATCAATCAATTTTCCTTCTCTTCTTTTTCACAATTTCCTATCACACAATATCTACTTTCCTTACTCTCTTTGAGTTATTTCAATTATGTGATGGCATAGCGAAAGGATCAATGGGAAATAGCTGAATCTGTAAATGCCACTAAGTTAATACAAGAATAATGAAAACCAACAGATTACCCTTCCAACTAATGTTCGGTTTTTGAAATTTTTCTTTTTACAAAAATCTTTTTAAGCAAGTCTAAGGGAAGCAACTTCTCAATGTATTTTTTTAAAATGCACGCCATATATCAAAACATACAACCTAGATATTATTCTGGAAAATGAGTATAAACGGCAAAAAAAAAAAAAAGGATTTATTTAAAATCAATGTTTACAGTAGGATAATAGATAAAAAAATCTTAATTTTATGAGAGGATCAGATAAAAAAATACAGAATCAGCATTCTTTAAAATTTAATATCTGACTTAGTATCTACTGCAATTATGTTAGACATTACAAATATCACTTCTGTACTTATTGCATTTTATCTTTCTATTAAGGTTATTGTCACAGCCTTAAATTCTTGTTAATGTAAAATTTTTGTTTATTTTATGGAATATCTCCCTTGGTGATTATTTTATCCTTCTTCTTGTTATTTTCCAATTCCTTCTTCTACTTGAGAATCATTAACCAAACATTGAGGAATTTTAGCATTACTTTTCTTTCTTTTTTTTTTACCAATTACCTATATACTGCTCAATATTAGAAGTAACAATAAAGTTTTATTTACTTTTTTTAAAGATTACAAATTTTGCCTGCATGTTTTTGCTTATTTAGTTATAATGTTTCTCCCAAATGTTTTCCATCTAAAAATACCATCATATTATAATTTAAGTAACTCATTGAGGTTGATATGCTGTAAAACAAACCAAACCAAACCATGAAATTTTTGCAGGTATAACTAATTTTATTTAATAACTTTTACTAATGTCCTCATGATAACTTTATCATCATGTAAGTAGCAGTGAAACTCTGTTCTATCCTTGGTACAGGAATGGAGCACACTTTGCAAGATTTAAAAAATTGGTTTATCACCAAGCATTGTATTTGGCAGTTTAATGGCTTTTCTGAGATAAGAAAATAAATATGAAATAATATAATTAGATTTCATAATAGTAAAAGGTATATTAATATTTTCCTTCTATTTGTTATCACTGTAAATTTTCAAAATGGGATCTTCATTATTCATATGAAAGATACTGATCTCTGTACATTTTTTTAAGTTATAATATTTCATAAATAATATTTATTTAAAATTGTAAAAAATTAGTAAAATCACTTTTAATATAAAACTGAATCTTTCAGGAAAAACAAATACAAAACATAAAGAACTAACATTGTTAGTTTTTTTTGGAGGGGGTGGGTTAAGTCCCATAAATCCAAGCTATAAATAAGAGTTAGGTTAAATCAATTTAGTTTTTATTTTATTTTATTTTTTCTTCACAGTTGCAGATATGAATTTGAAATATACATCTCCCATAGAAGAAATGCAAGAAATATTGTTATATATTGAAAATAGTAAAGTGCTTGGCAAATGGAGAAGTTTTGTAAATGCTCTCAAAGAAGCAGGTAAGAAATTTCAGTTTTTATTACCAGAAAGGAAGACATTTATTATGATCACAGTAATTTAAAATGCTAATAATAAACTTTATTTTTAAAGAAAGAAGTGATTATTTGGAATGTTTTATGTTCTCATTTTAACCACTAACAGATAGAAGAGTATCTAATTTCGGTATTTCTGAATACTTACTTTCTAAGTGGAAAGATTGTCAGTTCATATTTAAATGTCACTAGATTGTGAAGAACTACTTGTAGAGTTTTAGCTACTATATTTATGTACAGTGCAGTCTTCTCTATAGTGTTGCTTTATTTTTTTTTTCAAATACAAAGCATGAATATATCTTGATTTGCATATAATATGTGGTCCCCACTTTTATTGGAATTAAAAGGAAGCAACCTTTGTAGTATGTAGTAAATATAAGAAGTTTGTTAACTGGCCAAAATTAAGCCCCTAATGCTGACATCATGCTGGTGTATATAATGTGCAAAATATAAATGAACAGTTCTTTTTGTTTTGCATCCACCATAACATGGGCATAAAGGTACACACAATCTAAAGGAAAATGCTACTGCAAGATGTTGCCAGACTTGAAGTTACACTCATGGACTGTTAAAAGGACTCTTACAAGTTCATAGAACTAAAGTTTCCCAACCTCTTTTTCTATCTTTCTATTCCATTGTTTTATTAAATGTTTATAAAACATGTAAGATTGGCATATTCTTTCTTTTTTACTAACACCCAGTTTAAGCAGGCTAACTTTGTTTTAATGCATTAAATCACCATATTTTACTATGCATGGATGATGTGAAACAAGAGTGATCATTAAGACAATTTTAGCGGTCAATGATCAGGTAAAGTTGAGGATTTGTACCAACAAAAATTTGCCTTCTTAATCATTAATTCCTTTTTTCCTATTATTTTATTTCTTTACTCTTTTCTATTTATAAACTTCAGAAATAGTTAATTGATTTCTTGAGTATAAAAGCATAGGGAAATCTGTTTTTCTTTAATGTATTTTAATATATACTAACAAAATATGAACCTGTTTGATTTTTTATCAATTAATGTTATTGTTATGAAGTAGAGTAATCTCTATAATAGACGTTGTAATTCTTCCAGCATTCGTGTGGTGTTCTGCTTTTGTAGCAGTATCTCATTTACATGCAATACTACACCTACCTCAACTGAAATGACCTTATGCCCTTTGTTGATCTTTGGTTTCTTCTAATTATTCTTGGGAATCTAAACTGTCTTTCTTGGTGTGTATCTTGAATTCTTCTTATAGGTCGAAGTTCATTTTCCTCTTCTGACTTTTTGTTAGATTTCTGGTCATTATTATTCAAAGATTGTTCAGTTTCACTTCTGGATTCATTAGTCCCCTCTTCCCCTTTATGTTCTTCACCTTCAGATTCTTTGTCTATTTCTATATCCTTGGGTTCTATTCTGCATCTGAATTGATCTGCATGGGCCAGTACATTTTACCCATTTTCATTAGTATTGCTGTGTTGTGTCCTTTCTGTACTACAAAGTTCACATTCTCTGGATTAGATTTTTTTTTCTTTTTTATACCATACACTTTCACTTGTTGAAAATGATATTGTTATGGGAGCTTTAATCTGTCTATCCATTAAAGTGGAGGGACTTTGTAGTCTGCCATCATGTGGAATTATTCTATAGCTTAACAGTAATCTTAGTAAATAACTTTCTATATTATCACTAGATGGGAAAAATGCTTTTAGCCCCATTTTCACAGTCTGCACCATTCTTTCTGCGATTCCATTCAACTGTGGGTGGTAAGGTACTGTTTTATACAGGACACATCCAATATGCTTTAGCCACAAACACAAACTTTCCTTAAAAAATTCTGACATGTTATCTAGGCCCAAAGTTTTCAGCACTCTGTTCCTTGAAAATATTGTTCTTAATATTTGTTTTACAGTATTGGCTTTTCTGTCAGTAACCTTAATTATTTTGGGCCATCCTGAAAATGAGTCCATTAAAATTAAAAATAACCCCATGCATTTAATATGGGCATGATCCATGTGCACTTGAGCCCATAGTTCTTTTTATTTAGGCCATAAATGAATTTGGGTTTGCTGAAATATTTCAGCACATTTTGGTTATCTTTTTACATAGTCTTCTACATCTCAAGAATATCCTGGCCACCACACTTATAATTTTAATCTCATTTGTATTGCTGTTATATCACAATGTACACCTTTTAGTACTTCTTTTCTTAAACTTTGTGGGGGTATTATAATATCTCCATTGCATATTATGCCTTTCTCTACAGTTATGCCTTGATTCTTTGTAGGGTCTTTCTGACATTGAACAATTTCTCCATGTTTCTTTTTATTCTGTCTGAAATTCTACTTAACATTTGGATCTTGTATGGTTTCCATTCTGAGATGATTTAGCTGTAACACATCCATTTCAACCCAGTGCAATATTTTATCTTTGGAATTTTCAGATGTTTCTAATTTTTTACTGTCAAAAATTTAGTCTGGATAGCGAATCCACATGTGGAATAGTGTTCCTCTTATTTATATGATATCAAAATCAAAAGGCCATGAGTTTATAGTCTTAAATCTTAAAATAAAAGATGTAACTTTTTGGTAATTCCTCTCTAGGGTTAAATAAAAACTCTAAAGGTTTGTGATCTGACATTAACAAAAATTTTGTCTAACAAAAAAATTCAAGCCCTTTTTGTGCTCCATACTATTGCTAACACTTCTTTCTCAATATTTAATAGTAGCTAGCTTCAGGTGACATTAATTTTCTTGACATGTACATTATTGGATGACCTTCTTGAGATAAAATTGTGGCTCCAGAATATTCCCTTGCATCTGTAGTTAATGTCACTTCTATTTTTGGATCAAAAATTTTTGCAATCGGTTTTCTTTTCAGTGCCTTTTTTTTTCAAAGCCATTTTTTGCCTTTGAATCTATTTAAATTTTTTATTTTTTTCTATAATTCTGCAAATGTTTCTATTAGGTTTCTGTATCTAGGTAGATATTTACTATAAAATTTGTCCATCCCAAAAAGGATTCTAATTTTTTTTTTTTTTTTGGTTTAGATACTTCCGATATTTTATTTATCAGTTTATTGTCTGGTGAAATTACTTCTTTAAATATTTGGTATCATAAATATGATATTTGTCACAATTTAACTCACATCTATCGCTATTTATATCAGCATTTTTTAATTTGTTTAAAACTAGTTTTTTTTTAATACCTCTTTACTGCAAGCACCTATGCCTATATCATCTTGATATATGATTATATTTTTACCCCTCCGAAAGAACTTTTTCAATTGTCTTTTGAATAAATAGTTTGAAATTTTAACTCCAAATGGAAGATGAGTCCATCTTAGTAAGCATATTTATGTATTAATTATAGTGAGTTCTTTAAATTTTCTGTCAATTCTGGAATTATAGACATTAATTCAAATCTAGTTTTTCATGTTAAGACGCAATTTCCTCCCTTCCTTTTCAATCTGTATAAATATTGCATTATTTGGTTTCCTTTTTTCCTTCACAGCTAGATTTTCCAGTAAATTTTGCTTCTCCTACTGATGAAGTCAGACTAACAGATTTTGTTTTTTCCGGCGTTTTTTTTTATAGTAGTTGGCCAGCGTTTGCAAACCAGTTGCCTTCCAGTATTTTTCGACCTAACTAGATGGGCAACTCATTTATTCCGTGCCCTGAACCCATATGCAGGCGAATATCTTATCTCAACAATGTCGACTTCACACTCTACCAAGACTTCTTCTCGTCTTGAAGCTGCCGCAGGTCAGACCTTCTCCGTTTTCGACCAGAAGATGTTAGAGACACCGACACGGTCGTGGAGCAAACTTCGTATTCAACTAATGGCTTATTTTTATCCCCGTCAGTGAACCAGTAAATACAGACAGGGATATCCTACTGACGAACAACTCACTATCCGTAGGTCAGACCTTCTCCGTTTTCTGCTAGAAAATGTTAGAGACACACGACACAGTCGCAAAAAACTTCGTATGCAACAGGTGACTTACATTTATCCCTCGTCAGTCAACAGTGAATACAGACAGGGATATTCTTACTTACGAACAAACATTTTTCGTCTCCTGGGCTCACCGTAAACAACTCCACAAGACCATGAAAATCGCTTCAAACATTCTTCGTTTCTCCTGGCTAGATGCCCACAGCAATCCGTTAAAATTTCCAGCAGCCAATTCAATGCCTCACCAAAAACTCTGAGACGACCGAACATTCTTTCTAACCTTGAACCTGAACACAAAATACCACACACACTTACAATAAAAAAAAATCCACAGTGAGTACTCCTTTCTATCTGTGCACATACACCTCGTGTTTAACGAGTTCCTTTTCCAGAACCTTATAAAACTCTTTTTCCCGTCTTAGCCATCTTGCTTTCTATTTTGGCGCGGGACATTTTTCATTAATCTCGTACCACGAGATAAGTTACTTGTTTCCATCTAATTAAAGTTACACATGTTTTACAAACAGATGTCTGTCATTTTATTTCGGCTATCTCTTCGATGTTTATTAATTTATGCACTCGTTGATTGACCCCTTTCCTCTCACTGTTCATTCACGCATTATCGCATTTTTTATTTTTTTTTATACATTGCTTGTGGACTCGGTAGTTTAGTGTGGTGTCTGGCACAAGGCCCTTAGTAATAAACCAGCACTGCTGCGCTGCGGGTCATAACAATTCCTATTTGGTTATATGTCAATTTTATTCTTGCTAATTCATGACTTGTCATTTTTATGTTATGTAAGGGAAATAAATCAGAGCATACTAATGATGCACACCTACTTTGTAATCCCCACCAATCCTCAAATCACCATTTGGCTTTTGTATTGCAACAATTGGTGAAGCCCAACTTGGGTAACTTTCTGCAATATGCCTTGTTCTACCATTTTCTTTAGTTTTATGACTACCATGGGTAGAATGTGAATAGGTATTTTTCAAGATTCAAAATAGACTGGGTGATTATTTTCTCACCAATGCTGCAAAACATTTAATCTATGTTTCGCTATGCTGCAGTTCATTCACATGGTTAGAGATCCTATTGGCGATGCCATATTGTTATAAAGTAGAGTAATTTCTGGAATATTGTCAAGTCAACAGATGGTAGCTTGACTGGCATTCACTGTGGTGTTCTGATTTTATCGCAGAATCTCATTTACATACAATACTACAGTAAGAATGTAGGGTTGTTAGCATCTGCTCTTTTGCTGCAGCCATGTACATCCATTGTATGGGCTAGTTGAAGAGTCAGTTAATTACCATACATGTGATACACGCTTGGGTGATCGAGTCTCTTTTTGATTCATGGCTGACTATGTAGAAGATTTTCCAGCAGTATGTTGAAGTTATTTCTGTGGTAGATTGGTTGCCAACAAAGGCTATAGAACCTAGTCTGTCCTTCTATTCAACCCATAGCTGAGGGGAGGAGTGATAGATTTATACTTTTCTTGAGGATATCTGCATGTAAATTAATGTGGCAAACCTGAATGAAATTTGAACTTGGCTCTTCAATTTCACATTCTGAGCCATTATCTATTACAACGTTTTGGCTGTTGTATGCCCTGGCCTTCTTCAGGTGGTTGGAATGTCGAATTGAACCCTTTAATTAGCTCACTGGGGTAAACTGTTCTAGTTCCATGTGCCATGTTTAAATGGATGTCAGTTATCAGTTATCTCCTGTTAATTCCCCTCTGCAAGTTCTCCACTGCCTTAACCGGGTATTGAACTCACATACTTTGGGTCCTGTCACTGGATCTAACCAATGCCTTTATCCACTGTACCATGTGTCCTTGAGGATAAAGGGTTTGGTCAGATCCAGTGTGAGTTCAGTACTTGGTTAAGGCAGTGGACAATTTGTAAAGGGGAATTAACAGGAGATAACTGAAATTCATTAAAACATGGCATGTGGAACTAGAACAGTCTACCCCCATGAGTGAAATAAAGGGTTCAGTTTGACATTCCAACCAACTGAAGAGGGCTGGAGTGTACAAAAACATTGAAACATTGTAATAAATATGGCGACAAAGATGAGGAAAATAGTCCGAATAATGTAAATAGTGTTCATATCCTTTATTTTAAAAAAGGCATAATTTCATATCCTTTATTGTAAAAAAAGGCATATTTTATTTGATCTATATATTTTTTTATTCGCACATACATGTTATTGGCCATTAATTGGCACTTAATTTGTGTAATTCCTTTCATTTCGTGTGTTCAATAAATTTAACGTATTTCCTTTTTAAACTGAGCTTGTGGCATCTCTTTTTGTCGTGTGCCTTTGGCCCTATACATTATGTCACTACAAACATTTATTTGTACTACTTCAATACTTTTTCATAGGGTTTTTACCTTATAAAAATCCTATATATGTTTTCCTTGAGCCTTGCTGAACTGTGAAGCCCTTTGTAGGCAAGTTGTAAAGCACACCAGATCAAACAGTGATTTCTCTTAAAAGAAAGATGCAAGTTCAATCCCAACCTGAGAGAATATTTTCTTTATTAAGAATTCTCTAATGTGCAGGCCAGTAGATGTAATATACACTATACAATAAGATATTACAATATTTATTGTACAATGAAAATGGGGCATCTATTTCAAATACAGTATCCACTATTAATAACATTTGAAGTAATGAAAATGGTGGATTAAACTAAAATCCATTAATTCTTTACATATATGCAAATACATGCTTACATGGAGAACAAAAATTACGATGTAAATAACAAAAGAATTATTCCATATTCAATTCAAAACAAGTCTCAGAAAATATTTCGAAATAGAAAAGTGGGTCCTTCCTGATAAACCCAACAAATCAAAATATATTGTTCTATGTTCTAAGTTTATTACAATTACAACTGAAAAGAATTTATCTAAACTCAACATAAAATTTGTCACAACTACAAGTACAACAATAAAAGATTTAATAATAAACAATACAGTAAGCTAAAACTTGAAGGGGGAATTTACTTTATCACCTGTAATAATTGCTACAAGGAATACATAGGAGAAACCTTAAGGAATTTAAATAAAAGATTATATGAACATGAAAGGGATTTGTTAGAAATCAACCCATTAAACACATTACTTTTGACCATTAAAAAATGTAACTAATTAAAAGAGGAAACAATTTACTAAGATGAAAATGTTTAGAAATAGCTTTAATCATTAGATCATCCACATTTAGGTCCAGGTTCTTACAATATTTCACCATTCCTAGCAGATCTTCTATTATCACAAAGTGGGATATTTAATAACAAAAGTGATGGAAAAAGAAAAGTATCTAAATTAAATCCATTAGATTATATACCCAAAACATATATAGGGTGTCCATAAAGTTCGTGTGCACTTTAAAAATTTATAACTTTATTTGTATTTTGCGATAGAAATAATTTGTAAAAATGATTAGAAAAAGTAAATCTATAGTTTTTAGGGTTTTATTGAAATTTTATTTAACTTTCACATGTCCTCCATCATTAGCAATACAAAGGGTAATACGATTTTTGCAGTTCACGGAAAACGTTTGCCAACTGGCACTAGATGTTGATAGTAACAGAGGGTAGGAGATGTAAATTTTTTATATTAGTGAACTAGGTATTAAACACATATTCTTGCCAGAAGGAAAAAAATGCTTTTTTTGGATCATCTGTATATTTAAGAAAGCACTGTCTCAGAAAAGTTTGTTAAGAAGAAGTGTATAGAGACACTTTATTTATTTCACCTTCATTGGTGTAATCTTTTAACAAATTGAGCTTTTATTTTTGCTTGGACTAAACACTTTTTTCTGATAAAACTTAATTTTGGATAGTGTAGAAAACAGGTGATTATAATCAGTAAAATTTGTTTCTCATATTTTGGCTTTCACCTGGGTAGTAATAACAAAAAATCATCAATTCTTCAAGTTTACCTTTCTGAGGTTGACAGAATCTATAACTGACATTCTTTCTATATATAAATTTCCCAAAAGATAAAATAACAGAAAATGCATTGATAGGGAAAAAAATATGATGTATAATATAAATGTTTATAATAATGAACATTTTGCCATGAAATAGCGATAAGTAGAGAGGCTTAGCTGTGAAGGTCTAAACTGGTGGAACTAAGGAATGTAGCTAGATCTGAACATTTGCCATGGAAATAGCGAGTAGAGAGAAGCAGTAGTAAAGGTCTGAACTGGTAGAACTAAGAATGGCTCGTCTGAACATTTGTCATGGAAATAGCGACAGAGTGAGAGGGGCTTAGCTCTAAAGGTCTGAATGGTGGAATTAGAATGTAGCTCGTTTGAACATTTGCCATGGATTTTGTTGTTATAGTTATTAAAACACAAATTCAAAGATAGATGCTATGTAAGCCTTTTTTCTGGTTAATATAAATTACCTTTGTAGTAATGATATTTTTTTTAATTGTCATTTCATACACCAGCGTCTTGTACACAGAAATTCTTTTTTTCATGTTTATCTATAAAAGAGCATATAAACATGGCTGTTGTTTATAGATATTTATATATATATATATATATGTGTGTATATATATATATATATATATATATATATATATATATATATATAAAAGAAAGAACATGTAAGATATATAATCCGGTGTTCTCTCTTAGATATTTTTTATTTTTACAAAATAGTGCTCAATGTAAATTTACAACATTAATATTATAAATTAATTTTAAATCAATTGATTTTTATATATATATATATATATATATATATATTAAAAACAGAATTTATTTTAAATATTTATCTATAAAAAGAATTTATTTTATTAATCGTTAGGCATTTTTTCAATATGTACGCTCATTTTTTAGCGAATCTTTGGAGGTTCCTATTTTAAGACAATGCAAAAGGCTTTTAATTTCTTCATTTCTTTTAATACTTCATAAAAAATAAAGTCTATTTGAAAAATTCAAATTGCATTCAGTCTATTTATGTTAGTTATTCTTTTGTCTTTCAACTATTGCATATGGAAAAACTTCCATGTTACATGTCTACTGAATTGGTTTCTTT